GCAGTACCTTGCCCATGCTAAGGCTTCCCTTGGAAGAGCATGCTGGCTGCTAGTGCCTGTTGTGGAAAACATATCACGGCTCACTGCACAGCTGATTCATGTACAAGGTAAAGAGATACTGTGCTGTTGCTTGGGGCTTGAAGGTGCCACCTATTCATGGCCACCTGGGGTGGGAGGCAATTGCCTTTCTGCATGGGCCTAGTGAAAGCTGGCAGATTGACATTTCACTGCTTAAACACAATCTAACTGTCCTGCTTCTACTTTATTTTAGCTTTATGATGCTATTGATCTTACATATTTTTCTATATATTACTTTTTTGGAGTATTCAGAATGATACATGATGTATTATTGTTCCCTGAAGTTTTTGAAGGCATCATTTTCATAGATATACAATAGGAGATGGTAAACCAAATAAAAAAAGTTCTATTTATGCTTTTAGCTCATGAAGCAACAGCACATCCATTGAAATTTAAATGAAAATGGGGACTGTGTCACACACTATAGCTCTCTGGAAAGCTACAGTGGGAGTCTAGCAGTCCAATTCATTCCTTTGTAGAATGTACTAAGGCTAATGGTCTTGCTGGGAATAAAATGTATTTTTTGCAGAATGGTTCCAAGAACAGACTTTGCTCTTTACCAGAAAATATAAAAGAAAACAAATGCTTACTGTGTCTTTAGTATGCTAAATATGAAATTCTTTGCACAATGGAATGTTAGCAGTAGCCGTAATCATGTTTTCCTTTCATCCTAGTAAACGTAAGAGAGGACTGCTGTAATTATATCTCAGATAAAAGGAAGCAGAATTTCTGGATAATATTATAGTTGGTCTGATTGTTTTGTTGATAGGGAAAAATAAAGAGAGAGACCACATGAATACTTGTTTAATGAACAACATATTTACTAAGCAGTGCAGACTGTACATAATGCATTTGACTTTGGATGCAATGCAGTAGGCTTATTTTCTTCAAGCACATTTCTTAATATTTTACTACAGCTATTGTGTTCACTTTTTATCTGTCCAGCTATTCAATTATTTTTACAGTATGCCTATAGCACAACCCTAAAGCATTTAGCTTAACTACAGTCACCAGTGCAGGTACAATCAACGTCTGCATCCACAGACTCCACAACATCCTCAGATGCAGATTTCTTATCTCTGCTTCTCTGCCATTCCAGCAGGCTTACAGCAGTATCTGTCAGAAGAGTGAAGCCATTGTTAACATCAATCAAATTAACACATTTCAAGGAAATACTGTTTTGATGGCTGCCAACTCCCTCATCAAGTAAAAAATGAAATCCTGCCCCCACAACTGACATCTAACTGACTCATTGACTTGGAGCTGGATTTTCATCCATGATATAATTACTATAATACTTCCCAAAAACCAAAATGAATAACATTTCATGAAGCACAAAGACAACAAGAAGGAGGCTGTAAAAGTGCTGGAGGTAGCCACCGTCAATGTAAGACCGCCACGTACCAATACACATCAGCAATCTCTTTTTATGTTAGTGCTGCATATTGCTGCATATTTCAGCTGACTATTTGTCAAAGTTCATTCTGAAGGATAAGCCCTTTGGAGAATTTTCAGAGGTTCATAAACTTCTAATTAAAGTTTCCCATATATTGTGAAATCTGGCAGAGCATTGTCAGTTGCAGTATTAACCTTAACACACTGCTTTATCAACAGCAGCTTGAAAAAGCCATATCCCTTAATGCTGAAATAATCTAACTGGAATAATGATATTCATCCTCCCAATAAATATTCTTAGCTAGTTGGAGGTTTATCATTGCATCTGGAAGAATATTAGGACATCCATTTAGATTAAGTTTGTGTAATGAGGAGTAAAGCTTTCATAATTTTACCTCCATTTGTTTTATCCCTTAGTTGGACAACACATTTATAAAATGCCATATCTCAACACAGAGAAATCTGGAGACCACTGTATGGGTTCAGGTTGTATTAGTCACTTATCTCCTGAAATGCTAACACTCTCCTTGGCTAAATTACTGTCCAACATGAAGCACAGGATTTGCATAATAAATTGGGTAATAAATATTTCCCAGAAAGGTGCTGGAGATGATTTTTAAAAATATAATATATTTTCAAGCTGTGAAATGAGAAATGTTATAAAATGTCTGAGTTTTGTTTTTTATATACTTTAATTCTTATTATGTCTCTTACTCTTGAGCACACTGTGAGTCTGATCACATTCAAAGCTATGTAGGAAATAGTTCCCTTGGCAAACTGGATCATGGCTGAGTAACTATGATCCCTATGGGTAGGGCTTGTGGCATGTTTGAAATGTAAAGCAATATGGGGATTTAAACTTGGAGTAATGTCTGCTTCAGTCAAGATCCTAAAACTATAGTCTCACTGATCTGAGAACAACAGGGGAAATTCCGCATCCATGTACTTCATTTCATACTCGCTCTGCTAGTGGCAGTGATGGGGTCCTTTGAAACAGCAGACTATTAGGTCTGAGTTCTCATATAAAGAGCTGAGAAAAGGTCTCTGTCCAATGTAGGCAAATACGTGCTCCTAGCTTGAGAAAGACGAGGATTTTGTTTCTGCTGCTTCTCCAAGTCATTGAACACAGAAAGAAAAAGAACAGTTTTTAAGGGCTGGCCTTATATTCCTATTGATCCTTAGCCTGAGGAAAAGCAATCATCTTGCTAAAAAAACCCCCACAGATGGCATCTTTTTCCTTCCTCTTCCTTCTCGTCCTCCTCCTTCTTGTCTTCCTCCTCCTTTTCCCCCCCCGCCTCCTCCTCTCCTCAGGATAAATAAATTAAAAAAGCCCTTGCTTAGGAGTGCTGCTAGCAGACTTGCCAGTCTCTGGTTCAGTAAGTGAACCAGAGAAGCCTGCAGTTGCTGTAAACGCAGCAATGGCTGCGACAACTAACATATCCTTTTTTTGTGATTTTCCTCTTTTCTTACACATTTTCGTGAGAGAATGAGACAGCTTTATTACAGCCTAATATTCTGAGGCAGTGAGTGGCCTGGAGTGATAACATTTCAGAAATATAGACTTGGACACACAAAAGAAATCTGTGAAATGTGGATATGACAAGATTTTGGAAGGTGTTCTTGAGGAGGGTGGGTTTTTCTTTTCATAAAATAATGCATCTATTCACATCTCAGGGAGTCATCAGAAAACTATTAGCACTCTCTCTGTGCTACTTGTTGAATAGGCTGTTGTAGATGGTTGACTATTACAGAAAGATAGTCATTGCTTTTATGGGTTGATTCAGCACATTGCAGTTATTAATAACATGAGCAAAGTGCAAAGTTCTACACAGATGTTTTTTAAAATCAGACATAAAATACTCTATTCCTCTCCGGTATTACTCCACGCAGGGGTCCACCGGCTTCAGTGAAACTACACTGGATTATTCCAGCTAAGAATGGATTTGGCAAACAATGACTAACACAGACCACTTTGATAGATACTCCCTAATGGTAGGTTTCCCTCTAACCTATGTGTATATATATGTGCCGTGTAATTAATTAAAAGATTTAGAAATCTTTTTTCTTTAAGAATTCTTTAAAAGAATTAAAAAATGCACCAGAAATATCTGTAGGTTCCATGTTAGATTCTCCTCTCACGCTTATATAACTTCAGTGTGAACCTGTGTTAGACAATGCATCACATCCCTGACAAATTGGTACAAGTGAAAGGAGAAAAAAGACTGGTATTTTTAAAAATCTGGGGCATGAGTATGTGTGTATAAAATACCTTCAAAATTGAGCCATTTTTTTTGAACAATCTAGAGAACACTTCACCAATGTATTTTTTTGCTGATGTATTGCACAGTGGCATAGCATGGCAGACTAATCACAGCAGTCATGTCACACTACTTGACTGACTTTCAATTGCCTTCCTTGCCCTGGTCTACACAAAATTGCAGGCTGTAATGTCCATAAAATGACTCAGTGTTGCTTATCTCAACTTTATGAAGATCCTGAAAACGTGAAAAAATTTTTATTGATCACTGCTGCCCCTTTTACCACCTCAAATGTTTTTCTCCAATGATGCTACCTGCCATCATCTGAACTAGCTTTTAGCTGGCCAGTACTGTCAGTGGTTATAACAAATACTAATGGGATTAAAACCATCAGCTCAGAGAGGAGCTGGAGCAATACAGGTCTGTGCCTGGCTGTGCTGTGTTTTGTTCTTTTGAGTGCTCTGACAGAGCTCCTACAGTACATGACACAGAGAGAGAAAAATATCATACCTTTTGGGAAACAGTGGAAGCCAACCTTAACTGAGGTTTTTTCGATTGGAGTACAGTCTTTCATACATTTCAGTACTGGGTCAACAGAGTAGCACGTAGATTCCTCTCCATCAATAGTAGGATTTCGATTCAGCTTCACATAACTGCGCTGCAGTTTGCACCCTAAGAGGGAAAGGAAAGGTAGTTAAAATTGTAGCAATAAATCCCAATCGATCCTTGCAATAATAAAGGTCCGTATTTTCTCTTCAGCTTTTATTAAAACACAGGTGCCTGACAAACCATTTTCACAGTAGTGAGGTTATTGAGATAGGATGATAATAAGTTGGGGGATAGAGGAAAGAGTCTAAAAGGGGAGCTATTTTAAAAATCTAATTGCACAATATAACCCAAATGGGATCATGTATACCCAGTTTTTTAGAACTACATAATACACAGAAAATAACCTCTCATGTCTAAAAGCTATTAAGAATAGATACTGTAAGCACAATGGCTACTTCATTGCATTAGGAAAAATGTCAACTGTACTGAATGGATAAAAAAAGAGGCAGCTTTTATATAATAACATCAAGGATAATTTTTGTATTGGATTATTTTTATAATGCTGCAATTATCTCACTAGAAAGGTATAATGTAAGTTAACAGGATCCCGGCTATGACTCCGTTTCCTGACACGCAGATAAGTACAATTCTGCTGCCACTGAAGTCAAGGAGAAAACAACCATTAACTTCAATAAAGTTATCTCAGGTCTAAGGTAAATGGAAACCTACAGAACAAAACTGTATTGATGTTATGGGAGACCATAATTCTTTTTCCAGATACATGTGAGCTGGAAGCTCTTTTACTTTAGGGGTATTTCTAAATATTTCCCTGAGATTGCATCCTCAGATGGTGCAGAACAAAAATGAAATTTTGTGCATTCTGAAAATTTACATAAACTTAAGATCTGACACTGCATTCACAGCCTGCCACTTGTTTGATTAAATTAAGTCTGCAGACAACAGCTGAAAATGCTTTGATTTAGTGGTAAAAATCATACTTACTTCAGTAGGAGCAAGATTAGGCCTGATTTTGCCTCTCCAAGAAAAAAGCTACTCAGTGTAAGAAATTATAGCAGAATCAATTATTTAACACTGAACTACACATGAAATAAAGACTTTTGCTGTAGTATATATTCTCTAGATTCACAGTGTTTTAAACAGTCAGTGGTTAATTAATTTAAAATGGATATATATTGCTATTGTCTTTTCTAAGTAAAAGATATCTCCTGCTTAAAAAAAAAAAAAATAAAAAGAATTGCTAGCTATTGGAAGAGGAAAAGTGAAATTGTATTCTCCCAAAGCATAAATTGTTTTCAGATCTACTCACCACCAGAGCAAGTTTCTTCTAGCAAAATCCATGAATGAACAAAAGCAGAACAGCTGTGTGCCAGCTTATGATTTGGCATTAGGAGTTCATTGTGCTTTTCTCTGTCATTATTTCCACAAACTCCACAGGTCTTTCCTCTCATCCATGAAGCAACAGTAAGCTATAAAATAGCACATCTCTGTAGTGAATACTGAAGTGTTGGGCTGTTACATTGCCAAGATACTAAACAGAAAGAAAGTAGCCAACGGCATCCTGGCTTGTACCAGAAACAGCATGGCCAGCAGGACCAGAGAAGTCATCCTTCCCCTGTACTCAGCCTTGGTGAGGCTGCACCTTGAATACTGTGTCCAGTCTTGGGCCCCTCACTACAAGAAGGACGTTGAGGCACTGGAGCGTGTCCAGAGAAGGGCAAGAAAGCTGGTGAAGGGGCCGGAGAACAAGTCTTATGAAGAGTGGCTGAGGGAACTGGGGTTGTTTAGTCTGCAGAAGAGAAGGCTGAGGGGAGACCTAATTGCTGTCTACAACTACCTGAAAGGAAGTAGTAGCAAGGCAGGTATGTACATTTTCTCCCAGGTAACTAGTGATAGAACAAGAGGAAATGGCCTTAAGTTACACCAGGGGAGGTATAGCTTGGATGTCAGGAAGTACTTCACTGAAAGGGTTATCAAGCAATGAAATGTGCTGCCTAGAGAAGTGCTTGAGTCACCATCCCTGGAGGTGTCCAAAAAGACAGCTAGATGGGGTGCTCGGAGATATGGTTTAGTAGTGGACAGGTACAGTTGGACTCGATGATCTCAAAGGTCTTTTCCAACCAGGGATTCTATGATTCTACTAATCTTGAAAGTAAGCCAAATACCTTAAGGATCACACCATCAAAAGTCACATTCTTCAGTCCATGTGCTGGAGCTTCCACAATAACTGTTGTTCCATTTTTATAAACTTTAACATTGTCTGTAAAAAGATAGTGAATCATAAGATGATCTGCTTAACTTCAAATTAATGGACAAACTGAGTAGCACAAAATATACCATAATGCATTTTCCTTCACAATGATAATTTTGCTGCTATTGCACTACTGCTGGATTTTTTTTTATTTATTTTTTTTTTTTGTGGAAAGAGAAAGCAAAAGTAGAAGAAATTATCTCTTTATTTGTAAAAATATTCTACTGCTGTTCCCTGTAGTTGGAACTGACTCTTGTATCCAGTCTGCTAAGCCTCAAAATGATAATGACATTTGTGGTGCTCCAGCTAAATATCTGAACCAAAGCATCTAACTGTGACTATAACAAACACTTTTTTTCTAAACAATCACCAACCTGGACATACCATATATATAAGAAAGAGCTTTATTTACCTGTCAACTATGCTGGGAGAAAGTAAGAATGTATATACTGTAGAAAACAGGAATGTAAGTCAATATAAATCTTAAGAAAGTAAATGCTCTATTTTTTCTTTGAATTAATCCCACTTGTGGGTTTTTTCACATTGAGATTTTTCTGTGGAATTTATAACAACACATTGAAGATATTTAGTTTCCAGGTCAGCCCTTGAAAAGTGGGTATCACAGCTTACCTTTTTCATACTCAGAAACTCCAGTGTGTGATAAAACTGGTTCTTCATTGTATGCCACAAGGAGAGATGAATTTGTGGCAGGACAGATTGTGATGTTCCTTCAGAAACAGAAAAAAAGAAGAAACTAGTGTTTAATTAAAAATGTGAAAGGTAGAGAAATTTGTGACCAAAGCTAGTAAAGAAGCAGTTTGAACATCTGAATTTTGAATGAATGAATGAGCTGCTTTCTTTCCAAAATGCAAAATTTATTGGGACATTGGGTTTTGACATTCAACCTTTAAAGAAAAGACAGCATGTGGACTTAATGAAGAGACTATCAGATAATAGTGGCTGTGAAATTGAAGACAAGAGCAACTAAACCAAAAAGAGTCTCAGATGAGGATTCCTCATGGAAATCCCATCTTTCCCCAAATATCTGATTGCAAACCAGTTTCACCTAGGAGCTAGACTTCTCCCATCCCCAGACTAACTCCCTGAAACTTTATACCTAATTCCTGAGCCCTCAGGATAAACCACACTTACACTGAGGTTGTATTTATGTGAACCTCTCTTGAGAAAGACTGAGGATCAACCTTTCTTGTAGTAATGATGAATTTTGGGTGTTCAGTACAATCCTGGGCCACTATCAGGTTGCAGCTTTTATTGAAAGAATATGTACGGCTCACGTGATCGAATGTTTTGAAATCTCCCTCGCTGACTTCACATGTGGCTGCAAAACAAAACCAGAAAAGAAGTGGCAGATGTGACAATGGCATCTATGCTGCTGTGAAGTATTGAAGGACACCTCTGTGAGACTGAACTAGCCAGCAAACAGGAAAGAAACTTCAACATCTCCTTGGCAGAAGCTTTCAATGCTGCCAGAGTCTGTAATGACAGGATGTCACTACGGAATAGCTACCAGATATAGACTATACTAGTGTTGGTTTCGATTACATGCTAAACACAAAACTCAAGCTAACAGGGACTAAAATGTACAAAATTATTGAGAAACTAAAGATAGTAACCATGATAAAAAGTAGTTCACATTTCCCACAGAAGTGCTAGGCACCAGCCAGCTAAGACTCATGACTGCTTTTTCAAGAGAATAAACAGCGCAGAAAATACACAATCTGTCTTGTACCCATCATCCAATGCTTCTCAATGCAGAGATGGCACCTTCTTAGAAGTGGCAAAAAGACAGCCTCTAGGACTTGCAGAGGAGTGATTCCTGAACTCTGAATATTTACATTAGTTTGAAGTCTCTTCATTCACTTGTCAACAAACATTCTTCTAAGGGAAGGAATGAGCTGTTTAGAAAGTGGGGTTAGAGATGCCATGCTTCCCTATACGACCACTACAAGGAAAGGCAAGGCCCAGTCATGGCAGAGAACAGATCTACAAATATTGCTTATTCATGAGACAACCATATAAGTAGTATTTACATTGATCTTCTTGTGCTATTTGCGAAACTATTTCAGGTAATAAATTCCAGGCAGTGATATCTCGAGTCTCATAAGTTGGAGATGGGCCTAAGGGCAGAGTGAATGGCATCCGGAGTGCCTGACAGTAAAGTGTTACCTGAAAAAGCAGAAGTGAAAATACATTAAGATAAATTGAAACATATTACTCAAGATATGACTGCAAACAAAAAAAGAGACTTATATTGAAAAAAAAAGAATATTGAAGATGCATTTATACAATTGCAGTTGAGTTAATCTCTCCAGGATGCACCCAAACTTTAAACTTTTGTGAGATATAATTTTTTTCTCTTCTAGTCACACTTCTTAACTTCTTGAGAAATTGTTAAGGACATTGGAAAGTAACCAACATAGATGAAGTTCAAGTGATAATTAAGTGACTTCTTAAAAAATAAGATAACAACTTAAGTAACTAAGTTGATGAATATAGCTGGAAAAGTGAACAGCATCCATTACGGGGTGAAAACTGGCATGATGAGCACTGGAGTAAGCTCCCTCACTGTAGCTACAAATTACATTTACCAAGAGAATCAAATTAGTGCCTAGTGTGCCTATTTCTTCATTATCATATATTAAAGATCCTGCAGTACTGAAGCACCATGGAAGGTTAAAGACACACTGATTTCTCTGTGTATGAATAGCTAGTTGTTATTAATTTGCCAGAGATCCATAGGGGAAAATTTTCAAAGCAGTCCATAGGGATTTTGTGGACAAAGACCAATTAATCAGTGGGATTCTGCAAATCCAGCCTGTGCAAGCTGCTCTGAGAGTGTAACTAACCGCTCCAGTTTGGTTAAGGCAGAGTTGTATTTGTGGCTGTCATAACTTGCTCAGACCTGTCCCATCGAGCATGGTTACTGCAGATGTGGGACTTGAGTCCCAATAAAGATTGATGCTGTACATGGTTGCAACAAAGTGCATGATGTTCTCAAGGCCTCTATTATCTGCTTTCAGAACCCTTTACACCTCACACAACTAGTGCAATACTGGGTAAAATGAATAAAGGTGTGAGTGTAGAGCAGTAATACTTGAGACAATTTGGACCTAACTGCTTTTCTCAGCATGGAAATGAGGTATCTGACTACAGAGTTTGATTTTCAATTTTTTGCTATATTGCACCAAAGCAGCATAAAATCAAGAATACTCTTGTATGTATTTCAAGACCCATGCAACATAGTCAGGTATATAGCAGCTCCTCTAAAACGGAATGTTTTGGGTTTTTTTCTTTACATTAAATATAAAAATGTTAGTAGTTGAAAATCCATTCAAGGTAAAGAAAAGGAAAATGAAAACTGTCACTTACCCCAGGAGCTTTAATTACTGCATCAATTGTTCGTGGAGATGTTGCAGCTACCCTTACTATAAATTCATGAGATGGATTTCTCTGATGTGCCTCTGAGAAGCCCAACACGAGTGCTGCACCAGGAACGTATTGCATGAACCTAGGGATAAACAAGATGTGACAAACTCAGGCGCATGAGCAAAAGTTAGACATGGAAAGATGAGGATTACTGGCAGTTCTGAAAAATCAGGAAGAATTGAAAAGTCAAAGAAATAATACTTTGAGTCAAATTAAATGGTTGATTTTATCAGAGGAAACACATTGGTTTTATTTTGCTCATTTTAACTGGGTATTTTTGGAGACTGAATAGAAGAACATTTCAAAACAAAAAGGCATTTTGAACTGAAATATCAAATCATTTAATATAAAATAGGAAATTAAGCATGTCAAGTTTTTAAATATTTGGGGCATATCTTTTAATATGAAACATGCTGAGAAAGTAGGACACATTCACAAAATCCTTTTGTGCTATTGAACTTGTGTTTTCCATCCAAAAAACCCTCAAAAATGTTTGAGTTGAAAAATTTAATCTAATTCTTTCAGTGTTTTTATAAAGTCAAATGGGGTAAGAAAGGCAAAATATCAGTTTAGGAAAGAGCAAATTACATACGCTGTGCTTGTCTTTTTTATCCAGGCTGGAAGGTTTCCCCATTGCACCTTCAGCTGCACAGCCGGCTTCCTCGCCAGCTGGCCTGTGGTAGCTGTGGCTGCTATCCTGTAGTCCCGGCACTCCTTGCCCCATCTCAGTCTGGCCTTTACAAACAGGTAAACAGTCACCCAAATTTCATAAAAGAATCACAGAAGCACCCTTGACCATTTAAAAATCTAAGTTTGTCTTCTTTCCTGAAACTTTACATTGATCCTTAATGTTTCCAAGTCTTTCTTTTCCTCTAAACAGGCTGACAGAGAAATTTTTGTTACATCTGGAAAAATCTGAGGTATAGTGGAAAGAAAGTTTGCTAGGTTGTGGAGAACTACATGTACATGTTCCTGTCTCAAAGTAACCCCTAAAACATCAGTTTTGTCATAATTTCCTGAGACTTCCTTTGACTTAGTAACTTCAAAATCAATATGTATTTTTTCCTAGAAGACAACTGCACTATAATTTGTATTGGCCTTCCCAACACCTTTTGGGTTGAATCCCAACCCACTTTTTCCAGTACTGCAGTATCATGATGAATTTGTTAATTGCAGCTGTGAAAAGCAGAGCTTTGTAAATTGTTACACAAAGACCTATTGCATTAAAAGACACATGGGAAGCGCAGCACAGGGAGATGTGAAAAAAGAAAAGACCTGTAACTTCATTTGTTTGCTGTCTCAGGCATCATCCCATTACCCAACTTTACTTTTTCCATCTTTTCATGTAAATCCTAAGAAATAAAATATTTCAAATGCATTTGAGCTGAGCTTTCTGAAATGAATTATATAGAGAAAAATAACCAGATTTCCAGACAAGCAAACTCATAGTAGAGCAAATAATAAATAGACAGTATTGAGGCAGTCAATTTTTCAAACATTTTTTATACTTCTACCAGCCATGTTTTGATATGTCTTGAAAGTCAAAATCTGGCAAAAAATATATATTGAAATGTCTGATTTTTTAAATTATTTTTTATTTTTAATTGAAAAGAATGGTGAAAGATAGGAACGTTTTCTGAAATTTCACAAACTTTGTGAAACATTTCAAAATATGTATGATTTTCTTGTTTGGTTCTCCTAATCAGCAGACACCCTGTGCTTATTTAAAGAACTCCGGGCTTTTTAGATGTCTCTCTGGGCAAAGCTGCTTGTGTGCTTACCTGTGCTTTCAGAGGCAGTATTACAGCATCAGCACATGCTTTCCAATTGGTTTCAGCCAGCTGAACCACAACTAGTTGCACATCAACTTTGGCAGCATCAGAATGAACATATGTTGTAGCTTGATAACCTTGATTTCTGTTGTCACTCCTTACTGCCTGTGCCACAATCGTAATGCCAGGTGGAATTACATCTCCCAGGAAGTTGCGCTGAAAAACAACCCCCAACCATCTGTGCTTAAGTATTTCTGTGTATTCTCTGGAGAACCGACAGTCCAGTCTATGTGCATTTATAGCAGGAAGCAGCTCTTGTCCTTCATCAGTTTAGTTTGTGGTATGCATTTCTATATCTGCAATACTGAAGAATAAATTTGGTTGCAATCTTGGTTGTTTCATTACCACCAGGTATTTTCAAAGCTGTGATTGTTTTGATGTGGATCCAAGACTCTTCCAAACTATCTTTATGCACTTAGTAAGATTTTGTGCATTATTTTAATATGTCAAATAGCTGCCTACAATATGTACTCAATGTCTTCTATAGCAGTTACACACTTACAACATATTTTGCTATACTACAGCTCCTTCAAATCAATTGATTATTTTGAAATCCTTTTTAGTAGCAGAGTTCCCATAGACATTGCCTTCATTTGCAGAGCTGTTTGTTCTATTGTTATGTAGATACCTCTACTTAGTACAATTATAGAATATTAAGTGTGTAATAAAGATTACTAAGTGTGTAATAAAGATAAAGAAGATCTGTGCTTAATGGGACTTTACATTAACTAATCAGTAATGACCATGGAGAGTCTGATTTTAGTTATGCTCTGAAGGCACTCATGACCTCAGGTCTACATTTAAAAATGATTAGGCGGACTTAAATTAAAAAAAAAAAAAATCCTTAAATAAAACCCATTTATTTCCTCCTCATTTTTACCTTAATGCAATTTATTTTGCATTTTGGGCTTTCACAGGAAAAAGAAAATTATTTCCCCTTTAACTTACAACACCATTCCCTTCAATTTTTATAATTTCCCAATCCAGGCTGTCATGTACTGCAAACACCTTTAGAAATGAAGGAAAATATATCCCCTAAACCATCAAAGAAATCCTTAAAGCCAAGGGAATTTAGAAAAAATATTTTCATGGGGTGAAAATATCTCAACAAACTTTGACTTTCCATTTGCAAACTTCACTTGCAGTGCACCTCCTGAATCTAACCTCCTCAGCTGGTCAGAGTGCCACCACATCTGCAGTTCCTGCTTGTTTGTACTGCATGGATGGTAGTACCTCGCGCGTCAGGCTGGAGCCATGGCTGTGGTGAACTCTGACTCCTCTGCTCACATGGCTCCTCCTTGAGCCGTGGCCAGTGGCTTCTTGGTGGTGATGGCTGCTGCTACTGCTGCTGCTGCTACTTGGGCGACTGCTCCTGCTGCTGCTGCTACTTGGGCGACTGCTCCTGCTGCTGGTGCCATGGCCACTGCTGCTGATGCTGCTGTTGCTGTGGCTGCTTCCTGACTGAGAGGAAGATGATGATGAGCTGCTTGATATCTTCCAATCTGGATGCTATGAAGTGAAAATAGGTTAGAAACCAGAGGCTTTTTATGCAGGTAGACATAAAAATCAGAGCTACCTGCCTCCGTCTAGAGGTAACAGACTTAGACATATCTAGAGTGTTATTTTTATTATCCTATGCAGACATGAAACATGTTGGGTAGGAATGTGCCTCAGATACACCTGGATCTCTCTGCTGATAGGAAGGCTGTACACATAGTGATTGCCAATGGCAACATCATAATGTCCAGGTCCAGTATTAGGGAAAATAAAAACTAACACTTAATAAGTGGTCAAATATATTGATATATTTTAGAAATAGAAAGAGATTACAATTTAATTAAAAGCACTGTAAATCTTTCTCTTTCATAAACAGGATACATAATAACTTTACAGGTAACACCTACAAAAGCCACTACATTATCATCCTTCTAATATATACTTAAAATACTGCTGTGCCATAATGCTTGGTTTCTGATACAGTCCACATACATTTTGATTTTACTACGATTTCCTAAAAACTGTGGACACAGCTATTTCTATTTGAAGATCCTGCTGTTTTATAATTTCCTCATGGTCTTTGCTAGCTTAGCTTTGGCTGCATTGTACAACATCTAGCCCAAATGTGTCCTGACCAAAATTTGAAGATTGCAAGTGCTGCAACAACAGAAGGGTGTAGTGTAACAGTCAGCATTTTAGTAATAAATATGCTTATTTTGGCCATTGTCAATGTTGATATTGGACAGTATGGAATGCTCAAGTGAAATGAACCAAACAAAGCCCTTTAGTAATATGCCTGATCATATCAACTGTAGCCATCGTGGGAACGTGCACTTGAATTAGGGACCTACCCGATGGACATGAGCAGATCTGAAATGGAGCCGATATACTTTTGGAAGGTGATATTCCTGCAAGATTCAAAAGGAAGTTATTACCTACAGCTCAGTAAGGATCACCTCCTAGCAGAAGTCAAAGCATTAGAAAATTTTACCCGTGCTGTAGAAATGTCGCGACTACTGTCACTGTTAGTTTGGGACTTGCCATGTTTTGGCTCAGCTTGTCTGTCATATTTGCTGCGGTGATGGGAAACACCAATGCTTTCTCTGCTGCTGCTGGTGCCACTGCTGGTGCTTCTGCTGCTACTGCTGCTCTTCTGTGTTTTATGCTTCTGCTCACGGACTCTTCTGTCTCCTTCAGCAGCGCTGGCATGTGGAATTGATGTGGTCTTGGACTGCTTCTTAGCCTTATGCTTCACACCAGATGCTTTGCTACTGCTGCTGTTGCTGCTACCTATGCTGCTACTGCTGCTGCCTTTGTTGCTGCTACTCCTGCTTCTGCTGCTGCTCTTGCCGCTGCTGCTGCTCTTGCTGCTGCTACTCCTGCTTTTGCTGCTACTACTGCTACTACTATTGCTGTCCTTGCTACTGCTACTGCTGCCCTTGCTGCTGCTACTACTGCTACTCCTTTTGCTGCTACTGCTGCTGTTACTACTACTGCTTTTGCTACTATTACTACTGCTTTTGCTACTACTACTACTACTTTTGCTACTACTACTACTACTACTACTGCTGCTGCTACTGCCACTGCTGCTGCTGCTGCCACCGCTGTCCCCAAAGGGATAGAATTTCTTTCCTTTGGCTTTGGACTGTCTTGTTTTCAGATTTATCTGGGTGCCTCCCTGTGATGCTCTGTTGTCAGAGTCGCTGCTGGAGGGGCTGCTCGTTGTACTCTCGACACTTCCACTGGTGCTGCTGGAACTGGATGATGAGGCTCTGGATTTTCTTGTCCCCTATTCAATGGTACCATTGGAAAAACAAAATTATTTTTCTGTGTTCCTGCAGAAGGCTGTAAGTAAAATCAGATACAGAGAGCTATGAATCTCTCTGCTGCCTTAGAAGACAAAACATATGCCTGATAGTATAAGACAAATTCACAATAATGTGCTAAAGCCACACATAAGTAGAATGATACCCCAAAACCTTTTGTGATAATGAACATGTGTAGAAACTGTTGAGCGTACAATTACATGTAACTAATGTTGGTAATGACAGTGCTGTAGCTGTGACTATCTCAGGGCAAATTGTGTAGGTATGTGTCATACTTCTGCTACAGCTGCTGTAGCTGGAAAGCACAGACCACCTTTTCGGCACACAACAGCTATTTTGTGTCTTACAAGAGATTTTTCAGAAAAACCTAAAAAACCAACCTGCTTTTTCTAATGTCCTTCACCTGCAGAAGAGATGAATGCATAAAAAAAAAAAAAAAAAAAAAAAAAAAAAAAAAAGACCTGTGTACCCCAAACCCTGTCTTTATTTTCCAATTTGTATATACTGTCTAAACAAACGTGGCTACTTAGTAAAAAAAAATATAAATAACTAAGCTTTGTGTAATGTCTCCCACAAATCTATAAGTGGATTTTTACAGCAGTACCTGATAATCAGTATCCTCAAGAATTTTCTTCACTCTTTTAATTACTTCTTTTCTGGAAGATACTTGTGCGTCTGGATCTTCAAATGTTACCAAACGTACCATTTTTGTAGGAGCCTGGTCTCCTGCTTGAATTGTGACTTGTATTTTTTCAATAGGTGCCTCTGTGTAAACTGCAATTGCAGGACAATTAGTATTATTGTTAGTATTAGCAACTGAATAATAGAATAAGCCATTTTTTGCTATACTTTACTTAACCATTATTCCCCAAATGAAAATATAAATGTTCACGCATTATTTTTGGTATTGAGCAACTTTGTTAAAAAAATTTCTGTAATAGCTAAAGCACATACTGGCAATAACCAAATTTGAAAATATTAGCATGATACTGGATTCTTTTCAAGTCAGAACAGAATGATCAGCAGATTTAAGCCAAGTGAATTGGATTGCTTAACTAGATAACACTATAGGATAGCGAATTACGCATCAGAGAGGAATTGAGGCTCAACTCTTGAATTATAAAGAATGGCCCAATGGTTAGGCCATTACTTTGATACTTAAGAGACCTAGATTCAGTGGCCTGCTGTGCTTTTACTTCTTATGATCATGGATTAAGACATTAAGGACTAGATCCTGGCGGGGTTAATCCATAATTCCCTTTAAGAGTCTGGGTTTTTAGAGTGTAGCTACAGGACACCGCATCAGATCTGTTGCCCATGTCCAATTGCTCTGTGCTTGCATCCCAAATCCAATGATTCAGGATGCATCAGACACGCTCTGCAGGCACAGATCAGCTCTGCTTGGTGCTGGCCATGCTGAGCGGCATCGCTGGGAGAGCTGGGAAATCGCTACTCAGATGAGAGGGGGAGAAACTGCTGGATTCCTGCTACAAACATAGTCTGTTGCCAATACTGGCAGGGCTAGTAGGTCTAATGGGAGTTTTAGTGGTACTTAAGATACAAAAGATATATATGTACATAAACAGTTATGTATGTATGTGTGCATACACACACCCTTACCCACCCACCCTGTCATTAATTTCTTTTTCGTGCACAGTTGTATTTACCTGGCTTGAGGCTCATTCTAATGGCATGCTCTCCAACTAGGTAATAAAGAGGCACATTTTTGATAAATGCTGCATGTACGCTTTTCCTCTCAATGCACACTTGAAACCCAAATGTACTTGCATTGGAGCACGTGGACTGAACAAATGGCTCTTTTTGGGAAGAAGACTGTCCAAAGGAAAAGGAATTTCCTGATGAAACATCTTCTGCAAGCTGTCTGTCCTATTAGGAAAATACACGTCAACTTAATGTAAATAGTAAGAGGAATACTTGCATGTTATGAGTCCTATTTTGGTAATAGTTACATGTAGCCTGCAGGAGAAATTAACCAGTTTATTTTAAATAGCAAGGCTGTGACATAAGACAACTTGGTTTTCAATTGGACAAAATTAACTGAATGGCTTGATTTGATTATCTAGTGTAAAACAGTTTCAGGCTATAAGAATGGAAAACTATATCACAAATTAATTCTAAATATTTAATTTTATTTTCCTGGAGTATTAGAGAGTGTTAACAGGTTCTTGAACAATCTGAGTGTCCTCTAGACTGACTGGAATTCTTTCCTTCAATATACTATTGAGTCAAACAACAGAACCTTCATCTACATTAACAAAAATTCTGTCCCAGTTGAGATCTGACATGAATGTGAGATTATATCAACTAGATGGTCAAAGCATATCAGATGTTAGAAATTTCCACTCAAAACTATGTAATTTACATGTACTAATCAATGCTTGCAAAATAACACTTTAAAATTAATTAAAATTAGAATCAAATCCATGAAATGAAAACCATGATTTCCTGGAACAATTAAGCAAATAGCTAAAGACACATAATCATAAGCTTACATTTCACATGCAATATAGATTTGCAATTATTTTTTTACTCAGTTTTTCATCTCTTACAAGATCCCAAACTTGTATGAACTCCACTGAAAAACTGGAATTTTAATGCTAGTATTTTCTTTCCAAAGGAAATTCTAGCGATAATGGGAAATGTTCCAGTTAGTGCCATTTTTCAGTTGCTGTTCATTTAAGAATAATGTGGAGTGCTGAGTTTTCAGGAAGGGCAGCACAAAGGCACAAAGCAGAAGAACTTTGCTTGTTCCTGGGTATTGGAAACTGCTCTCACTGACAGTAGGCTTGCCTACTGACTTCTCCATAAGAAAGTACTGTACTCATCTTCTGCTTGCCTCTTATTTTATCTGAAAACCCTTCAGAGTTGCAGGACAACAATGAAACCAAAACAGGACAGTGTATTTCTCACCTCTGTCAGTCTTTCACTGAAAGAATTGTCTTCAGGCTGCCCATCATGGAAAGACTGTACTGGCTTTTACAGAAAACTGTAGCTCAGGAAGTCATTTGACTGCCCTCCGTCCTTGAATCAGGATGCTTATGAGCATTAGATTTGGCTCTAAAAGTGGAGCAATTAAGTATTTCGTGGAACTTTTGTGGCTGGCCCAGGAATATTATGCTTGTGTAATGGTTGCAAAGTATTTTAAAGATTGTGGGCCTGTCCTGTAGATGGCAGTGTAAAATTAATTACCAAAGAAAATGCTTTTGCTTTTGAAAAACTGTTGCAAGTCTGATGTATTACACTCCAGATTTTAAAATAATGTTACCGTAGGGCTATTTGTGTTATTAGATTGAACCTGACTTATTTTGAATGAAGCAGCATTGGTCAGAGACGAAATGTACATTTTCCTATGGAGAAAAGATATGGTTTCCCACTGATTAAAACCCCCTCCCCCAAAAAAGAGTGCGACACTACATCATTTACCCTAATGGTATCAGTCTCGCCTGATGCAGAATCTGAATCGAAGGACATCTTCATTATGTCAGGCACTGCTTCAGGCAGAAGAACTGGAGTCATCTTACTAGCAGCCAAATCCCCAATATTTCGTGTAACAGCAAATGTCTTAGACCTGCAGAATAAACATTAGAGGAAATCTGTATCAATAAATCACTGCTGAGGGAAAGACCTGAATAATGCCTTGTAGCACGTACTCAGCAACAAGTATCATACCTTGCAAATTGCTTTATAAGTATTTACAGCATCTTTCCTGATAGTTGCATTTTCAAGAACTGCTAAGAGTGAATAAAGACATGGACCAATCTCAGAGGCAGATAGCTCAGTTAGGCTTTTAGAATCATGTGTACATGTTAAAAGCACTGCATTTGATGGGACCTCTGTATGCCTAACACCTTGAAGAACAGCCCACCTAGAAGCCTGGCTGTGGATTACATTATTAAATTTTTGAGTCTCATATTTTGATCTTCTGGACTTTTAAATTTTTAAATGCATCTTCTGTGTGTTCACTGCTAAACTTAGTTCTCATTTCCTTTGACATTATATTTGGGAAACTACTGCCATAACTTCAAAAAACAACCCGGGGACTGGTGGCTACTGAGTACTGTTTCCTGCACAAGTTTTGTTAAAGCAGAATTAAAGAAAGAAATCTGAAATAAATAAGTGTCTCCGGCTTGCTCTAAATTCACTGGTACTCATGGCTTGGCCATGGCTTGGCAAGATATCACAGAGAGATGGGTAGGAAGGTTAGAGCCTCTTTACATAAATGTGCTCAGTACATTGTTTCCAGTGTTGTGGACTCTAAGAGTATAAGTCAGGATCCAGGATGAGTGATACCAGGTTCAGCATGAGACTGAGACTCTCATGGCTAAATATCCTGACCCCCTGGCTCCATACCCCACGTTCTTCATGGAAGTTGCTACAGTGCTATGATAATTATGAGTTTTGTTTTGGGTTAGAGAAACATCTTGGATATTGAACACTTCTGAGAGATGAAAACCTATTTCCCTCAGCTATTAACATTGTGCTGACTCTACCTTATTAGCTGTTTATCAGGACTAACATCCAGCTTAAAATTTCCCACCTGCTGCTTCTCAAATATGAAGTTGATCTGCTTGCCCTGCAGCTTTTGTGGTCTGACATTGGAGGTGGCCTTTATGACAGTGAAAGATGGTCTTCAAAATGGTCCCCATTTTAATATGGTCTATACTGTACTAGCCTGAGCAATTCCAATCTAACCTATTTGAAAGATGAATTTGTATTCATCTGATAGCCCTCTTTTCCTCTTGAAGGCTCCTACCGTGCTGTGTGCACTGAAAAGCACACAATTGCACTTCATGTGGAACACCTCAATAAAACGTGTGTCACCTGTGGGCTTTGTTTTCTTTTCCATCTCTCTCTTTTTTTTAGATAAGGACATGACAGCAACGCTCCATGCTGGGTGATAGGAGAACCTTGAAGAATGGAATCTGAAATAAAATATTCTCCCTAACAAGCTGAGGGGATAAAAGAAAATACAAATCAACTTGCATTTCAGGTGGCTCATCTGGGTAAAGGGACACAAAGGGAAATGGCTTTTATTTTAATCCCATTCAATAATTCAAATGACCACTGAACTGCAGGCTGGGTCTCCAAGCAGAAAGCCCTGGGGTTTCTTTTCCATTTTGTTTTTGTTTTGGGGTTTTTTTTAGGGTTTTTTTATGCCAATAGTCTACTCCTGCCACCTAATGAAAGTAGAGGATCGATTCCTCCCTGTTGAGCACAGAGAGCCGACAAATGTAGCTGCATCACAGGTGACACATGTCAATGTCTGTAGAATCACACGGTACAGTAAAAATAGGCTATAAGAACCAGCTCTGGTGCTTTAACAAGAAAAACAGTCACAAAGAAGGCCTAAAGCTATGGTATGAAAGAATCTGTTCTCTCTGATCCCACACAAGGGAGAAAAAATAAAAGGGAGATTTTCCAATATGTATTAGTGTATTTTTTGGATGAGAGAAGAAGCTGTGCTATAGCCAAATTCACTGCAGGGGTACAGGACAAGCAATTCAGCTGTGTTGGGCCCACTGATGTTTCAATAAGTGTGACCTTACATACGTCCCTAACACGGAGACAGAAGTGCTCAATGTCTGTTTAAAACAGAGAAAATCAGTGAAAAACTATTTTCCCAGGTTTTAAAGTGCAGTATGACATCATATCTAAATAAATGAGAGGCAAGAGACAATCCTCCAACCAGATCCTTATCTCTCATTTCTCTGTGGCAAAATGAAAATTTCTGCCTTTCCTATGCATCACCCTTCTGATCTTGGTGCAAAGGTATTGTAACAACAGAGACTTGGAGCGTCATTTCCCTTCTCTGTCCCCAAACACACCTTGCTGCCTTGCAAGCTCACAGCGTACACTGACTATTCTGCATTTTCTGTCACATGTGCTGTATACATATTGTATACAGTGTTGTAATTTTGTAATTTATCTTATAAATAAAGATGCCCATGTGAAGCAATTTCTGCTTATCCTACAGTTAAAACAAGCAAAAGAGCCCTATGATAGAAGCTTTATTCAAGATTATGTATGTACTTCAATAGCCTGTCATTATGAATATGTGATATATTTGCAAAGTGCATTCTCTGGCAGCTCTCTATATTTATACTTTAATAACAGGGTTCTAGTTTTTCCTGAAATTTATTTGATTTTTACTTTTTCCTGTAAATTTTGTTTAGAAGTATGTTTAAGTAGCCATCTGTAGCATACTGAATAATTATGTTAAAAGAGCCTTAAAAATAACTATTATTTTTAATTAAATTTAACTTTGATAGGATTGAATTGAAACACATGGTATATATTTTCTCCATGGTATGATAAATTATTTTACTCTGATTTTTGCTATAAACAAGTTGAGTCTATAATATGCTGTTTTGTCTTATGAATGCAATCGCTTTATCACCAAAGTTGTAATTTTTTTTTTTTCTTTAGAGTCTGTGATTGTTCACCTGAGTTTCTCTTTTAATCTTGAAATTTTACATAAATCCCATGGCTGTGACAGGTTATAACTTGTATGGTGTGTAGGATATAACTGAACTTAATGCTATTGAAGATGGTTTGCTTCCTGCGTCTGAGTGTGAGAGATGAAGGGAAAAATAGTATCACATCCTGACCAGCCTTAATAACATGGCACTATAGAAAGTAACTCACTGACCATCAAGACAGGGTGCCCAATACTAAAACATTTCGAACAGAGCCCACAAACAAATGAAAAAGCAATAGCTTTCAAGAACTATTTCTTTATATGGGGAATTAAAAGCTAACAAGGGAAGGTGTCAGAATATCTCTTAAAATACTGAATTCAATAGGTTCTTTGCTCTTTGCTGGATCTATGCAAAAAGAACATCTATGTTAAACTAATATTTTTGACTCATTCTATAGAATGTATATATATCCTTTCTCTATCATGCCACCTGGTTTCTCTTCATACCTTTAAGGTTCTACTTTGCTTGATATTTGACCTCCTCAATGATGTGGTTCAATGTACCATTCTCTGGTTATTGCTTTGCCTTCACTTGTACTCATTGCTGTTTCATTGCTCTGTGTGGTTTCCACTGACAATTTGTTTTCTAACAGTGAATCGGAATGTTTTTTGGAGAAAAATTGATGGTGCTAGAAGTTAGCTAGTGAGTATTAGCATTCTCATATACTTGGTATTATAGAGCTATTTCTGATTGATTACTTCACTTTATAAATGATAATGCTGCAGGGTCTAGAGCAGGGCTTGGGCGGGAACTCATGGACTCTTTTGCTGTAATCCCTTGCCTCTGATACTGACTTGCTTTATGCTTTCTGACAATGCATTTAACCCTTTTTGTGTCTGATTCGATTTTTTTTTTTTTTTTAAATTTTACTTTGCAGGGACAATCCCTCTGATAATATTTGTAGCTCTGCTTGAGGCTCTAAACTCCGTGTGAGTGTCCAATATTCTCATTTCAGTTCAGCATCCTTATTGAATTCATTAATATCCACCTCATTCTCTACAACTGTGGGAGCTAGTGAAAATAGGTGCCTGCTGTCCCTCATGACCTTGGGAGTAGACTGTCCTGGTGTTCACAAGAAACTGAACAAAACTTTTGGGCTGTGGTGTCCCAGCAGCTTACATGCAGCTAACTGACACCCTACAAACTGCCCAAACCCTCCTTCCTCTGCATTGGGAACCTGATTACAATCACATTTGATGGAGTAGAGGAATCATCTTGGGGAGGAGGATGTGGTGTCAAATGTCTACTAGGATCGTCTTTGACTATTGAAGGGAAAGGGAGAATAATGATTAGCCTAACTGGTGGCTCAGCTGAGGAGACCTGCAGAGCTTCTCTGGGCCAGCAGCCATGAACGCTAATTGCAGCTGGATCAAGCAACCAAGCTCTTTTGTTACAGCTGTATTCCTAGAGCAGAAACTTGTTAACATTTCTGCAGATTGCATAATAGCTGATTTCTGTTGTCAGTTATGCTTTTTCCTTTGTGATGAATTTTCAGCTTGTCTTTTCCAGTGTTTTTTTCATGTGTGTGTTTGTGAAGATTTTCTAAGCTTTGGTCTACTGCTTTGATTCCTTGGACATACTCTTTCTGTTTCCTCCCTCTCTTTGTGCTTGTATTTCCATCTGTTTTCATTTGTTTGGCATCTGGCTACAACAGTTTTCCAGAGTGTATTGTAATTGCATGCACCGATAATAAATCAAGTAGACCTAACAGGCAAGAAAACCAAATGGCAGCCACAGGGAAACAAGGTAAAAACACAAGAAACACCAAATCCTCTATGCTTCAAGGCATCAAATGCAAATACATATGGGTTATCTGCTATAACTAATAAGATTCACCTGGCTTATATCTTATCTAGTGTCTCCAGTCCAAATATATGTATTTAGATAGAAATTTTATGCTATTTGTGTTTCAAATAACTTACGGGTCTCAACAACTGAGAAACAAACCTAAAGAGGATTTTCAGGTGAAGACCACAGGAAGTAACACATATTTTCAAGCGAAACTTTGGTACACATAACTTCATTTAAAATAAATAAACTATATCAACCATCACCAGTTACCCAAGCTGTCAGTCAAAGACAAGATCCCTAAGCAAATGTTCTCTTTTATTTGGAGAGACTCTGTATTTCTACATAGAAAGATAAGTGCTATGTCTTACCTTATAGCAATTACATTAGTCTCATCTTTACATGGTGGAATTTCAATTTTGATATTTTTTTCCTTCATATGGACAGCGGCAACAACATTCACAGGTACATGCGCAATCATTTTCGTGTGTGCTTCTAGCCCTGCCTGGATCATGTGTGTGTTGATCCCCATTACAAAGGTCATTTGCTTAGCCATGCTGAAAAGATAGAAAGAGAGTAAAATTATGTTCAGACACCAAACATCTGTTGAATTTTCATGGCCTCTGTCACTGGGAAATATAATTCTTTCATTTTATACTAAATATTTACCTTAGACTGATTTTGGATCGCAGCCTAATGTTGGCATTTAGTAACTCAGTCAGTCTGAAATCAGACTTTGGAGAAGGTGTAATCAGTGCTTGAACTATTACAAAGAAAGCAAAAAAATCATTAAAAATCTCCCCCAATCTGGACAAGTATGTTTTTATTGCTCAAGTCTTGAAATACATTACCATTTCCTGACACTTTTGTGATAGAAGAGTAATAGAAGCTGGTCTCTGTTGGGAACCCAGTGCAGGTGGGCACGATACGACGGATCTCAGAGGACAATAAAGCCTTGGTCCACTGCCTCCCTATACCACTTTGAAGGCTACTGATTATTCTCCTTATTGAAGGGATTTTTTCATCAGGTCCGTACCATGCCTGCAATTATAGAGTTCAACTTGTCTAAATCAGCAGAACTTGAATATCATGATCTGTGTCATTAACTCTGCCTCAGGGGAAAGTCTGCCAGCAATGATTATAGTTAATTCTAATCAAAGCTTGACCTTATTTGCCTTGATTAATACTAAAGACAAAAACACTCTTGAATTAAAAAGTTAAAAAAAAGGGAGAGAATGTGTTTAAGAAACAGTATTTTAAAGCTTTTGATGCTTGGGTGGTGTTTCCAAAATGATACCTGCAATGAGTTTTGGATGGCATTTTTGTCGAGTCCACCAAAGAACAACTCTTGGCCAAACATTTTCAAGTAGCCCGATGCAAAAGGTTTGTCTCTGGATAATGCCTTCCAGTCAGAGAGCTGCATGAGAAGATGAAGAAAGTCTGATTCTTCATAACATTTGGGGAAGCAATACCTTAGACATTTTATTTTCCCTGAGAATTTACCGTCTTCAGGATTTCCTTGAAGTCATAGTCAGTCTCCCAGTCCCCGTCAGCAGAGTAACCTTTAGCAAACATCTCCTGCAGTCCTTCAACCGTTATTCCCACCTGTGGGAAGAAAGAGTGTAAATGTCAGTTGGATGATGGTCATAAGAAGGGAAGAAAGGGCAAAGTGTGGGTAAACCATATTACCTCCAAGGGATCAGCCACTCTTCCAAGGAAATGTGTCCGCAGCTGGGACATTGTCATTGTTGGAATTAAGCTGCCCGCATTATTCAGTACCAAATATTTAGCTGCCAGTCCAGTCATAAGGAACTCTGAAGAGAAATAGGCAGTAAAACACAGTACAGTTATTTTTTAAAGCCACAGTGTGCAGATTGTATCAATTTACTAATTGCATAATTCAACTGATACAGCATGATATGAGAAAGGCCAGAAACCCCAGCTATAAAACTGGTGTTATAAAACAATCATAAACAGAATATTTTGCATTTTTTAACTATTAATGGTCAAAATTACAAGCCCCCTGCTCATTGCATGGTGCTATGCTATTTTTCCAATTGCTTCTGCTGTATCATTTACATCCGGTCAGATTCTGTAAAGTAAGCTTATGAAATGTTTTTATGAGACATCATTTAGGGCAACTTGACAAAGTGGATCAGAAATAAAAACAGATTTGCAATCCTTTGCTAATAGTTTAGGGAAAGCAATATAGATGTCTGATAAGGACAGATGGTGAGGTGTAGATTTGTCTCTCAAATGACACAGAGGTGATTTAATGCCTATAGTTCCAAATGCTGTAACTCCTTACATGAAATGCATTAATTGTTAAGTAACTGTTAACTATTGATTGAATTTTGAGCAAATATAATTTATGTCTATTTGTTTTCTCTATATTTATCATCTGTAATATCCTTACATACAGATTATCAGTGCAGAGCAAAATCATATATTCTTCCTGATATTGGCACAGGTCTACACAGTCCTATTTTCTGAGTTAAAGTAATTCAAAGGCTTTTCTAAGTTTCCTTAGGTCTCAGGAGGAAAAAAGCTGACATAATAAGTAGGCATCCCTGTCATGCTTTCTTTCTTCCAGCCCTTCTCTCGTCTTCCTACACTAGTTGGAGAACAGGGAAGTATTGTAGAAGTCCCTATGTTAAATTTTTGCTATCCTCATGTTAGACATAAGCACCATACACTGATTAAATCCAAGCACCACCAGAAATAAGCTTTTGAAATCTAGTACAGCCAGGATAATTGCAGAGCCCTGGAAAATCCAGACCAATAATTTCAGTACCTGTATAGAAATTATTGAAGAATTGTAGGAAATATATTTTCAGACATTATGAGATGGAGTGAGTCTTTGACCTCTTCCCAGAAAAGAAGTGCCTACATTCTCATAAATTATTTAGATAAAAGTTAAATAAGTGATTATTGCTTATGAATAATGTTATGAATACTCATGCCCATACTACTTCTTTAGTGCCACCCTCTGTGTTTCAGATAATGTTTCACTTGTGAGTCAACGATTTCCCATTCTCTTCTGAATCTGTGCATGCAGACAGGCATCTGGGTGGTCCTTTACCCTTGTTTACTCCTCATGCTAAGTTGTTTCACATTAGATTGCTGGGACTATTTTTGATTTCTAATTTCTCAGGACAGATTCCAACTTCAAATGTATTTGAGAAATAGTCTTTTAGAAAAGCAATCCACTTTCAGTCTACTAAATCTGTATGAACTGGCATTTCACTACATCACCTTCCCTGTTCTTCTGTATGAAGCTCCTGCACTAACCAAAGTGCTAGGCACTATCTACCTACAACATATGTGGTTAAGTAACAGCTCCTGCAATCAAAATACATATACTTATGCCACCCCATTGATGGCAGAAGAATCAGTAGAGAACCTTCAGCAGATAGCAAGGAGAGATGACAGAAACTCACATTTTAACATTGATCTTGTAGAACATAAAAAGCAAAGTGATGCCACACCGGGACATTACAAACAAGCTGACTTGAGACTTGGAAATGTGAAGACTAGTTTTTCTCTGAATGAGCTTAGCCAGAACAATCCTAGGTGTTAAGTGCACTGAACACTAAATTGAGGCATGGTACTTTTAGTGAATTTGTTAAGGCTCATTTTTGTGTTCTAACTCATGAAAACTGTTAGTTAAAAAAAAGCCCATGATACTTACTGGTACTTAATAAGAAGTGTTGCTCATAAATGATTAAATGATTATACAGAATTCATTGACTTGAAGACAGCAGGGATATTTTCCATACCTCAGGCATTACACAGTGCTAATGCTCTAAGAAAATATTTACCAATGAAAAATCCTACTGACACAGTCAGATGATGCACTGTAGCCACTTCACTGTGAGAGTGTGATGGCACCTGCATATATCTGACTAAATGTCTTGCCGCAAGGAAGAGGGAAAGAAAAATCGGTGACCAAAGAAAGCGTTTTTTGGTACCTATGAACATTAGTATACACATTTAATTATACAAATCTGCACATATTGAAAGTCAGATTCTATCAGTCCTCACATTTAGCAGAACCTTTGATTTCAGTAACAGTATGTAGAACATGAAGCACTATTTTTGTTGGCCATGTGTGACAGATTCCAGATTAGAGATAGATTCAGCTGACATTATTGCCCGTCATTAAAAATTCAGCATCTAGCACCACAAAGATCTGTGATGCTGAGGGCACATTTTTGTTTTTAGCAAGGAAATAGGTACTGCATTACAGCCGTCACTATGGTAACTCCTCCAGAATGGACTCACTGAAACACATTTCACCTGTGGCTAGTGATGACAAATCAAATCAGAAAGCTAGAGGATGGATCTTCCTCCCACACCGGTGTAACAGAGGATTTACTTCCTTTAGCTGAGTTATCCAAGTATAAGATTAGCATGTGTGAGAAAAAATCTTGTTCCTTATTATTCAGGATGAGAGGTTTAAATATCACATATGCATGGTAACCAAATTTCTGACACTGGTCTTCACCAAGAAGTAACAGCAATTAACTGATGGGCTGCATTTCCAGGCTAGACAGAACAAAGTAAACCATTTCACATAGCTCTCTGCCAGTTACCCTCATGCGTACTGCACCCTTCTTTCTCACTGTGTGAAAATTCAGATAGCTTCATCTTAAAAGCAAAAATAAGAGGAGAAAATGAGTTCCTAATACTAGAAACATCTATCTGCATATTACTGGAAATTGTGCCTCTCCCTGAATGCATTTTGAATGGTACAAAAGTTCAGACAGTGCATATTAGTGACTACATTTCTTTGGGCACTCTGTCTCCATCTCTGAGGCAGCAAGCACATGTATTGTATATTACTGTGGTTGTTGTGGTACATATTATATTCATTTTTGTTATAGAGCAGATTAAATGGTCATGTAAAAACCATGAAATAGGGGCAGGGCAACGAATAGATCTACAGAAGTCTTTCAAACCACTCCTCCCTCCAAAAAGAAGGCAGAAGTACTTGTACGCTTAGAACTGTGGTTTTCAGATGTTTCAGAGTCTCTTTTTCTATTGATTACTTTGAAAAGAATCACGTACCAGTGAATAACAAAAGTGTTAAAAACATAGAAGTCTTCCTAGATAAACAGCATGTGTAAGAAGACTGTGTTTGTAGATATAATCTCCCTAGTCTGCCAGATACATATGCCAAATCACTGAGGCTGTCATAGCTATTTACATAGGGGAGTTGCTTAAAACATCTCTACTGAGACAAATAACATACATAAAAGTTGAAATAGCTACAATTTGGCCCAGCAAGAGCTGTATTCTAGTCTGGTCCTCCCCACTCTGACTACATTTTTATGTGCAACTCCCATTGACGTAACTGGTCAGCCTCCAGTTCCCATGTGTAGATCTGCTCTTTCCAGTAAAGAATCCTGGTAGGAAGGTGCAAGAAAAATCTTTAGACAATAAGCCTGAGTTAGCTGCTCATGGGTGCAAAGAATTGTCACACCTGAATGTTTTCCAAATTTGCTGTTTCACTGGGCACAACTGTTGGGGTGAAGAGTATTTAGCATCACATCTGAATTCAGCAAGAGTTGTAGGTGTTCAGCACCAGTAGAAATTAATCCACTTCAGCAGTAATTTGGGTCCCTTCTGTTTGTTTGGTGATGAACAATGGTATGAAATTGTTAAGCACCACCGAGACTACAGCATTTGATACAGGAGCATGTGCCTTACTGGCTAATGAAAATGGAAGGTTAGAGCCCCACAAGCTCTCTGGTAATTTCATACTGGCAGTGTACTATGCAAAACACTCAGGCACCTAAACTGTCTCCAAATGGAGAGTCTGAGTTGGTTTTTTTTTTTTTTTTTTCATTGAACATAGGAGAATATGGAGGAACAACATGCAGCTAACCAGCTGGCTAGGAGAATTGGGTTCTCATATTGTACAGTTTTTTTTCACATATTGACCTGCATATATTTCTCTACAAAATCTTCTGAACCTTACCTTTAAACATACTGAAGCGGAAAACCTTGCTGAACTGATATCCGGATCTGTCGAATTTGGGACTTAATACTCTGATAGCCATTCTGCAGGCAGAAGCCCTGAAAAAAATTCAGTGAGTACGGTAAAACCTCAGTTAGTTTGCAATAAATTTTTCATCTAGGGAAGGGATCCAGATTTTCCTTACATCACTTGAAGATCTGGAGCTGTGCTTCTACCCAGGGCTCTCAGGTGAGAGTAGATAAAACTTGCCACTTGCATGCTAGGTTCCTTCAGCACAGCATCAGCTAATGTCATCAGTATTGGAAGACCTGGCTTGGTTTCAAGCAAAACCACTGCAGCTAACATTCGAACCCGAGGATGAATTTTGTGATTCAGGAAAATCTCAAGGGTAATAGCCTGGACCTGAAAATAATAGATACATTCAAATTTACAGTATTTTGCTAATAACCATTCTTCACCAGTGAATGGTCTCTTCCTCACTAGTGCAGTAAAAATTTGTATTACTTAATAATCATGGCAACAGTGTTTTTGGTTTCATAGTCTGATGGCTGGAAGGGGCATTATGGTAAACTAGTCTGACTTTCTACTCGAACAAAGCCAAGGAACTTGGCTGGATAACTCCTACATCAAATATATTATCCTTTTAGAGCCATGGCAAAATATATATCTCTAGCATAACCACTCTAGGTAAAAGAGATTTCATGGATCCACCATTTACCTGAGACGTGGTTTCAGTGATCACATCCCTACCCATAAAGATATGCCTTATTTCTAATAATGTGATTGCCTGGAGCCCTTTCTGCTAGAATAAAAACCAGTTTACTACCAGAAATCTCTATGTCATGTAGGCCATTTAAAACAGAAAATTTATGCAACAAATGTTATTTCCACAGTACTACTGGTGACCAATGTGTTTGACTCTGGCAACATTCGATATCAAGACTAATTTTTTGCTGGAAACTTTCCAGTTTCCATGAGCTGCACTGAAGCCTTTGACCCCAACTTCAAAACAGATATGGATGACATAACATCGTTCTGGCAGTCCCTCTGTGCAGTCCTGTCTTGGCTGGGACAGCACATGTCCATGCTCTCTAATGAAAAGTCTGATCCAGAAAACTTCAACAAACTTTGGAAATACTCTATTTGGTTTTATTAATTTGCATATGTTAATTATCAAATACCAAGGTGAAAGTAGTGACAAGGATGCAGTAGTCTCTTTCTAATTGTAACTACCTTTTCAAATTAAACAATAAAAAAGACAAAACATGTATTAGGTCTGTTTAATGCGAACATAAGTGTGTAGCTAGCTGCAAACCAGGCATTAAACTGGTTTTTGAAAAATCAAAAATCCAGCCACAGTCATTAACTTGCTCCAGATCAATTTTCTCCAAAGAAAATGCATAGAAAATGGGTGGTCTGGGTCACATGTGGAAAGTTCGGTCAAAGGGCAATCAGAGACACAGCACTGTTGTCAAACAGCAAACTGTTTTTTTTCTTTCCTAGCAGATACCCCAACTCTTACCCTTGCTATTCTCTCCTCCCCTTCTGCTTTTTCTCATCTAGCTCCTGCACTCTAGTAAATTGTTTCTTTATTCTTTTGCTTAAAAGCATACCCTGGCACACTATAGTCTGTGGATCAATACGTGCACTCAAACCAAGAGTCATGTGCAAAAAATTACTATAATGGAAAAACTGATATAGATTAGTAGGAGAATAGTTAATGAAAGCTTTTATTTTACCTTTTATATTAAGAATAGTCTTATATAAAACAAAAAAAAAATCAATATCAGAAAAAAATATTGAAAATGCAAGGTTTCCTTTTAGAAGCACATTGCTTTAAGGTGAAAACGACTGTAAAGTGATGTCTGTGGTGGATGAGAGTATGCCTGTGTAACCATTGTATGTGATATCTAATCATTATCTTGTTCAGGGACAAAAGTCATATTTATTAAATGTTCTGTTTATGACTTAAACCCACACAATGTCTGTAAATTTGTAATTAGGATGCAAACCTCTAGTATCTATTTACAATAAGATCTAGTCTTGAATTACAATTAGATGTGACACTCAGTATTAAATGTCAATTCTCTGAAAACCTTGTTTTGTAGTTCTCTCACATACCAAAGCTGAAGTAGTACTAAACACATTTTGGTCAATAATTTAGCTTTCTGTCTAATGTCCTTGGAAAATAAATGCTTGCAATGGAAATACTGATTTGTCTTCAACAACAGGGTAATGAATGTATCCTTTTAACAGGATTTTTGTTGCAGTCTGAAATACTAGAGGTTAATGCCAAAAGGAACAAGACATAACAACTAAGGAATTGTTAAGTATTTAAAAAACCCCCATATTACGGCTATATTTGAAAAAAAGATGTGCTTTCACTTCATCACCCATCATCAATTAGCAGCCTTCTGTTGGCTTATCATAAGTGCAAAGGAGGCAGCTTTGTTTCCTTACCATTTTGGGGTCTTTCAGGCCTATGTTTTTCAGGGCCATCACAGCAGTCGCATGGACCTGGAGTGGCAGATCTGAGGCACTGGCTGCATATCCTGGCAAAAATTTCTTTATGTGCTTGATGCTGGCTGGATGTCCTACATTCCCAATGGCTTTCAAAGCCAGGCAAATTTCTTCCATGTTAGACTTGCTCAATGCCTCTCCTGCAAAGCCATGAAACAGCTGAAAAGGAAAACAAATCTTCTGTTGAGTTCAATTCCAGCTCTTATCTATATCCCATTCCCCGGCCTATTCTGAGGGTTGACTTTGATAATTTCAGTTTGTTCAACTCACTTATTTTAAATATTTTAAAATTCTTTTTGTCCTCATGAATAGGACATTTTATTCATAGAACAAGCATAGCCAAGAAAGCTGCAAATGAACAGCTTCTCCATCACTATGTCTTAAAGCTATCAAGTAAGATTTTTAAAGGAAAAACTGATGGCTAGGAGCTAGTTTCCACTGCCTTTCAGGGTGAGTTGGGAACCCTGCAATAATGCTGTTTGAATATCTCTGTTTAATGGTTGAAGACAGGTGCAAAAAAGCAGACACTGTTAAATTCTTCAGACCCTCAAATAAGATTCTGAAGATATTGCTAGTGATGGTGCCCTTAACTTCAGCTGTGACAGCCACTTTTTATTGTGGATTAATAGCTGGCAATGTGGTGATCAGGTAATTTTATAGCCTTCATTGTAAGCAACTGGATCACACTTACATTTATGTAGCAAGATTAGAAATAGCTGTCCAAAGGTTGAATATGAGAAAAGAACTAGATCCTAATAGAAAAAGCTTTTTAACGTTAAGAAATGGCTGTCAAAAAGAAACACAATATACTGGGAACATTCTGCTCTTACTGGGGACGTTGGACTG